CTGATTTGAAACAGATATTTGGCAGAAATAGGAGACCTTTAAGATACAAATTAGGTTCATATAGGCAATCAATGTGATAGCTTTATAGATAAATCGAAAGGCTATAAGACAAACTTTATCAATTTACCTATAGAGCTATCAGCATTCTAATATGTATTGATTGGCTATATAAACAAATTTTGTATCTTAAAGGTCTCTTATTTTTGCCAAATATCTGTTTCAAATCAGGTTTAAATTGAGATTATGTGATGCCTGATTTGCCTTTATTCAACTTGTGCTAGGCAATAAATAATAGTAATTCAGCAAATGAACATATGCTGCTCTGTGCTAAATTACTATATTTGATAGTATTAGTGTTATCTAGCAATTTATGCTCATGATTTATAGAGAGAATTTTAATTTAAATAAGCATATTTATATTATAATATGTGAAAAAATAATTAGAAGAGATAATTTCATGATCATATAACACAGGTCGAAATAAAGCAAATCGGGTTCAAATCAGTATCACAATATCCTAATATGAACCTGATTTGAAACAGATATTTTGCATAAATAAGATACCTACAGAAATCCTGTAAATATCTTATTTGTGCCAAATATCTGTTTCAAATCGGGTTCATATTAGAATATTGTGATGTCAATTTGAACCCAATTTGCCTTATTTTGATCTGTGTAAGTTTGCCAGATAATAATGTTTATATAAATTAAAAATTATAATATATTATATATATTTATTAAATATTATATTTATTTAAAATTTCTTCTAGAGTCCATTAACTTGTAATTTTAGCTCTAGTTATATTTTTTTTGTTAATTGATTCTAGTGTTAACTCTTCGACATCAAAATTAACAAGTTGTTCTAAAAATAAATCTGATGAATTTTCAAATTCTGTATAAATTTCTTGAAGTTCACTTTTCCATTCGATATCATCATTAGTATTGGAACTTGAGGTAAATAATGTATCATAATCTTCTAATTCTACAAAATTTGTATCTTCATCAGTATTGTTTGATACTTGATTATTTTCAACTTTTTTAGAAGCTTCTACTGCTAAAGCAGATTTTATTTGTGAAATTATTTTTAATGTTGGAGTAGTTAGTCGATTTCAAGATTTTGTTTTTGTTAAACCCATAGATGAAAATAGCTGTTCAACTTCAGCAGCATGAGGACGAATTGCAAATATTTTTAGTGCTAAAGTTTTTAATGCTTTAGCTTCATAAGAAAGATGCTTCCAATATAATCATAATTCTAAAGTTAAAACTGAATTATATGATGGTTCATTATTAAAATAATTGTTTAATTGTTCTGAAATTTGGTTAGCTTGTTCTCTTGTAAAGTTCCATTTTTGAGCGAATGTTAAAGCATAAATTAACATATTATCAAGAGATAGTTTTTTAGATACAGCTATTTTACAAAATTTTGGATGCAAAAAAAGCTTAAATAGTATATTGGTTTATCAAATTCTTTGCTCTAATATTAATAATATTTTTTGCATGCTCAATAAATTTTTATCAATATCACTATTTTCGCTCATTTTTAGCTTTTTATATACTTTATATAATTCTGCAAAAACATCACCAACTGTTGTATTACGTGATTCAAGTTTTCCAATTGCATTGACTATATATCTAAGAATTATTGTTAATTGCTCATTTTCTAAAAAGTGATGTCAACTTGTAACTATTTCTTTAATCTTAATTGGAATAATGGAATATTCATTAGAGTTATTAATATAATCAAGACAAGCTTTAAAGCCTTTTTCATAATTTTGAACAGAAAGACAAACTTTAGAAAAAGAAAACTATCAGGTTTCACAAAATGTTTGTAAGCTGTGTGTAATATTATTATTTATAGCCCATTGTTTTAATTTTGCATTCCAATAAATAAAACTTTTAAAAAAATTTACTAACATTAAATTTTTTAATTAAGTTTTTATAAGACTCATATAATAAAATTTCTTTTGCAATAAGATTAAAGATGTGTAAACAACATCGAATGCTGATTATATGCTTATATTTTTCTGAGATATTTTTTTGAAGTTGTACCATAACTGAAGGACTATCTGTAACTAATGCAATAATTTTGTTAAAATCTAAGTTTATATTTTTTAATGAAGTTTCAATAGCTATTAATAAATTATTTGCTGTATGTCAAGTAATTGAAAAGTCTTCAATATTAATAACTTTATTAACATTTTCAAATTTGTGCAAAAGAAATGTATATATAGAATTTCCTAATACATCAGTCCAACCATTAAGAGAAAGAGTTAAATCATTAGATTCTTCAAGGTGGTCAACTATTTCTAATAATACTCTTGCATATTTTGCTTGCATTATTCTATGTGTTAATATATATCTCGAAGGTAAATTATAACTTGAGTATAATTTTTTTAAAAATAAAGCAAAAAATGGATTTTCAACAAAT